TAATAGGACTTTGCCTGCTACTAGTGAACCTGAAGTAGAAAAACCTCCCGATAATGATAATGAAGTTTCTATCTCTAATGCTAAAACTCAACCTGGTAGTGAACGCTCACCTTTTGATAATGAAAAAGATAATGATGAGGTTCATGAAGATACTCAACCTAATGATAAAGAACCAGGCAATGACGTTGAGATAGAACCTGTTGTTGATCTTGATCACAACCGAAGAATAAAAGATATGAACAGAGAGACTTTGTTGCTAGAAAACATGGAAGGAAAAGAGAGCCATGGGTTCAAAAACCTATGCCCTTTCCACCTAAGTCAACTAAAAAGAAAGATGATGAAGAATTTGAACGCTTTGCTGAAATGCCGAGGCCAGTCTTTTTGCATACTCGCTTGACTGATATCTTAAAAATGCCTCCCTATGCAAAGTACATGAAAGACATCATCATCAATAAGAGAAAAATATCGGAAGCTGAAATCTCCACTATGCTTGCTAATTATACTTTTAAAGATGGAGTACCTAAAAAACTTGGAGATCCGGGAATACCAACTATACCTTGCTCCATTAAAAGAAACTATGTGAAAACTGCTTTATGTGATTTGGGAGCCAGTGTTAGTGTTATGCCTTTCTCTTTATATAAAAGACTTGATTTTAATAAACTCACACCAACTGAAATATCTTTGCAAATGGCTGACAAATCAACTACCATACCTATCGGTGTTTGTGAGGATGTGCTAGTTGTTGTTGCTAATGTTACTATTTTGACTGACTTTATTACACTTGAGATGCCCGAGGACTACAACATGTCGGTTACCCTTGGTAGACCCTTCTTGAATACTGCAGGGGCTGTTATTGATTGCAATAAAAGTAAGGTCACTTTTCATATCAATGGTAATGAGCATACAGTGCACTTTCCAAAGAAACAATTCCAAGTGAATGGTATTAATGTTAACAAAAATCTCCGACAATCACTATTGGAAGTTTTCAGCTACCTCTACCTACTGTTAAAAATAAATATGAAATCCTTATTGTTGGGGACATTCATATCCCCATTGAGGTAACTTAGAGATTTACGGAAGTTCTTCGGTTTCATATTAATCGGAATTTTTTGTTAATATGACTTGATCAACCTTATTAATAGATCATTTTTTAGAGGTATGAAGTCGATGAATTTAGTGAGCACTACCTTCTGTCCCTACCTTTTTCTATTTTTCCTAGTTAAATAAAATAAAATGCCATGCTTTGTCTATTTTCTGAGTTTTCTGTGCAATAAAAAAATGACCCAAAAAAAAGTTCTCAGAATGCCATGAAAATTTAATATGATTTTTTCTGGATATTTAAGAATTTATGGTGCAAATGATATTAGAGGGGGGGGGGGTGCATCAGGTGGGCACAACCCACCTGGGCGCGCCAGGACCCCCAGGCGCGCCCTGCTAAGTTGTGGTCCCCATGTGGGCCCCCTCACTTACTTCTTCTTCCCACATCACCACATTCCTCTAGAAAAAAATTCACCATTGCTCTCTCTCTCTCTCTCTCTCTCTCTCTCTCTCTCGTGTTCTTGCTCCTGAAACTGTTTTGGGAATTTGTTTCTTGGTATGTGACTCCTCCATGTGTCCACTTAGTGTTTGCTTTAGTGATTTATATTTTGAATAATTAGCTACTCTTTGTGCTGCTGTAGATGAGTTTGCATGTTGAATTCTTAGAGTTCTAAGTAGTTTGAATGCTTGCCATGGCCTCTATACATCCCTATGAGTAGTTGCTATCATTTTTGTGAAGTTTTGTTGAGAAAAATTTGGTGGACTAAAAATTTCAGAATTTTGTTCAAGGAAAAGATGAGTTTTTTAGGAAGTTTGCTTCCAAGAAGAGCTCTAAGGGAGTTATTGGGGAGTCATCTGACAATGATCTCCACACCCAGAGGTTGGCGGAGTTATGGCCGTGTGAATGGCCGCATAATCCGTTCATGGAAGGGGCTTTAATCCTTCAAGAGTTTGCACAATATGCTACTAATGCCGGCCTCACTGACTTCATCGCAGCTGAATGCGAAAAATATCATCTCCTCACAAATTCCTTTGTGCAAAACTTTCATTTCCATTCTAGGAATGATCCCCTTGAGGTGTCGTTTAATTTATATGTTGAAAACCACCAGATACCACTTACTGAATTTTGTGACATATGTGTGCTACCTTCCGATGGTGATTTGGTAGAGCCTAGGCCTGCGGAGTTTGATGGTTTTTACCATACTCTGATGGTGGAGGATGAGATAGGAATATCGAGTGTCATCGCTACTAGCTTGCATTTTCCCGCTGTGCATTATGTTGCTATATTTATTGCAAAATGCTTACTTGCTAGAGAGAAGGTGGGTGCACTTAGCGCTCCAGACTTTGTTGTTTTACGCGCACTTTATGGCGACAACACTTATAGCTTGGGAGCTATTGTGGCATGTCGCCTTCACATCAACAGATCCAAGGGTAAAATACATGGGGGCATTTCCTCTACTCACTTGGCGACTCACTTTAACGTGCAGATATGCCAGCATGACCATCGTTTGCCCACGGTTTACTTAGATAGAGCAGCTATGCAGGACCACCAGTTTATTGCTGCTAATTACCCTGATATTGATATTCCTTATAACTTAGTTTTTAGTGAGAAAACTCATGATATTATTCCATTGCCTACACATGCTTTGTTTGATCATGTTGCCACGGGCGGATACATGATTATGCATGAGGACATTGTCGTTACCGGAACAACCTGGATGCGGCACAGGAGGAGCCTCAGCAGTGGGACCCTTAGGTGCCCGCTCCCCGACACTTCAACATTGGACCTCACGGCTTCTTCGAGTGGCCCTAGACCAAGTTAGGCCAAAAGCCTAAGCTTGGGGGAGTACATATTCCCACCGATATTACATTCATGTTCACAGATTTCATTCCAGTTGTCGGTGCTCACACCTTTTCAGTGTATTATCCATGTTAAATTTATTTTCTCCCTTTCTTCTTATGTGTTTGAAAAACTTTGAGAAAACCCAAAAACATTTTTTTTGCTTCTTTTTTATTTTTCTTCCTAGTTTAAATTGTTGTAGCACTAAAAAGAAAAACTCAAAAAGATTTCCTTGTTCTTCTTTTACTTGTTGAGAGCTTTCTCGTGTAAATAGTTTTTCTCGTTTTTGCTTTTCCCTTTTTATTTGCTTGTTTACGGAAAACCAAAAACTCCAAAAATATTTCAGTGTGTTTCTCTGAATTTCTTTTCTTTTTATTGAGTCATACCGAGGAGAAGACCACGATGAAAATGTTGAGTGGATCTCATTTTAATTATTGTTGATCTAATGAAGAGCCCATATTACCTTGTCTTCTCCTTTTAAATAAAATGTTTGCAGATTCCAGCTTAGTCCATGGCACTCTTGCACTATTATTATTTTCAAATTGTTCGGTCGTGCAAGTGAAAGGCAATAATGACGATATTCGATGAACTGGTCGTGGCGGAGAGAAACGAGTATGAACTCGACTTGTTCTGTTTTTGTAAATATGTTTAACCTAGTACATGATTCAACCATGTTTACAATGACAATTAGAGATTACTAGTTGAATGCCCGTGCGTTGCCACGGGACTTAAAAAAATGTATACATCGATCATTGTTCTAATTCAGAAGTGCATGTCAAACATGATGGATATTGATCGATATAATAGCGACTACCAATTCTTTCTCCCGTTGCTTTCTCTATCATGTCTCTTTTTAACGTGAGTAAGAGAGACCCCTGATGTATATTTTACAAATTAGAAGTGTGTCCTTAACTTCCTATGCCATCATCTCTTCCACGACCTTCCTTGCATCTAGAAAAAGCGGCTTTCTCTCGGTCGTTCCTCCTCTCCACATCCATAGAATTCATCCATCTTTGCTCTATCATTGTCGTCAATTCAAATGTTAGTCATTTTGCCCTAACTATCGCTTGGTCACTTCTTCAAAACATTAGAAGATATATGAAATGGTGCACATGTGTCTAGAGAAATAGTGAGTTGCGACGACGACATACCAACAAAGGGACATACAATCATCAACTCCCCTTGTATATCTCGAATGGGGTAGCCACGTGTATAACCAATGTAACTTCGAACATTGAACTAATATGTCTCCATCAAATATGAAGATATTTTCATGATTATGAATGCTCCAACGCCCTAGTATGATCACTTTGTTGAAGCAGGGTGAGTGTTACCTCTGAGATGCATGAACAAGTATGTCCATGAGTGATAGGCCCAGGTGCTTCTCCTGGTTGAGCCTCTACGGAAAAAGAGTGAGCGCAACACTGGAGGAATACGTGCACACATAATAGATTCTAAGCTCTCCACCATCATACTTGTATCCTTTCTTTAATAAGAAAAATAGTAAGGATACACAAATATGATAAGAGCATGTTGTTCGTCTACTAAATAGTAAATATGGTGTTCGAGATTGACCTAATTCACAACGGGAATCATTTCTTCAGGGAGAAGGCAAGGTTACATATCTTGCTCCATTATTCAAATATTCACAAGTAAATGTTTTTTATGGACATCTTAATTAAAAATAGATTTTCTATCTTGCTATGCATGATTGACTTCCAAACGTGTAGAGAGAGGAACTGAACATGATTCAAGCTGCAATACGCATGATGACCCCAAAATTGGAGCATACTACTCAGAGAAAGAGGAATATAGGAGTTTATCAACATCATGATGACCACAAAAATAGACTTATGTTTCTCAACTCTTGATGGAATTCTGTAATGTGTGGATCACTTCAAAATCGTAAATAACCCGAAATAACTTTCAAACTATGAAGATAAATAAACATGAAAATGTTCAGTTCTCTTTTGTGTTGATCATTCTGTGTACGAGTATTCAGTTATGGGGTAAAAAAAATCTAGTCATCCTGGTGTATGTTTTATCCACACATCCAATCTAGCTCCCAATACAATCGAAACAAGGGTGAAAGCAGAAGCTAAAACTTCATCACTCACACCGATCAAAATGGCCTCTTGAGCCCCCTGAAGTCCACCGTCTCGATGCACTCTACGCTGCCCCTGAAACCATTGAGCAGCTCGTTGGCCCGATCTTTGGTCACGCCGCCGCAGCCCACCTGGAGCAGCTTCTTGAAGGTGCCCACACGCAGCGCCTCGTCGCAGCACGCGCCGGCGCCAGTGTCCGCGGCACAGCAGAGGCGCCAGAGCGCAGAGACGCAACATCTTCTTGACCAGCACGGCACGACCAGCGTGTGCGCACGCACGGACTCAAGGCCGGTGTCAGCACAAGACGCCGTCCAGCACGGCCAGTGCCTTCTCGCTCGTCCTCTTGTCAGCATCCAGGACGAGCTCCACAAAGACGAGCACTGCCCTAGCTCGGCGAAGCTGGCGGCCGCGCGGTTGCTGCCGAAGACGAGGTAGTAGGCCGTGATGAGCGCGGCCTTGTTGGCCTGCGGGGACATGGGTTTCCTGACGAGGCCGACGAGTGCGCTGCACACACCGGGCGTCCTCGAGATGACGTCGACGGTGTGCCAGTCGGGGGACGAGGCGAGCTTGTGGAGGACGATGGCGGCGCTGGCCCATGCGGCAAGGTCACCGTGGGAGAGCACCGAGACAAGGGTCTTGAGAGATGTCGGGGAGGCAGTGTAGCGCCGGGCCTCCTCGTCGACCGGGAAGAACACGGTAAGGGCCGCCAAGATCTTCCCAACGCGCCCAATACAGCGGCGCTGGTGCAATACACGGGCTCACCGGTGAGGCTCTGGAAAGCGTCGCTCTCCTACCCGATAGCCGTGGCCCTGCCAACAAGCTGCCGAATTCCCGCGCCTCGTGGCGGCGGACACGGCGGCGAGCGCCTCGACGGCGTTGGCCTCCCGCCAGCTTCCCCACAGGGGTCAACCTCCTAAGTCGTCGTCGGCGTAGTCCATGGAACCGACGGCTGTTGCGGTGGCAGAGGCAAGCAGGTCGTACAAGGGCGTCGGACGGCGATGCAGATGGGCAGTTGCACTTGCACACGAGTGTGGGGGACGGCGGCGGCGATTTTTCTCACGAGATCGAGAGAGAGGATGGATGAGGAGCGAGAGGTAGGGGAAACTGGGAGAGGATATGTGGGACGTGGGACGGTAGTGGGTCGTGGTTGTTTCTTTTTTTTTCAATTGTGCGAAGCAAGGCTTGCTTCGAGGGAACGTGGACTGCTTCTGCGATCTTTTTGTGCGTGCTCTGTTTTTTCCATCGTGGGTGGTTTTGATCGTGGCTATTTTTTCTGACGATAGCAGGGAGAGGGATGTTGGTTGAACCATCACGACGACGGCAGATTGCCCTTTAATAGTAGAGATAGTTTCTCATGCCATGCATAAGTAGTTAGGAGTGGATAATGATTTATCTTGGATGTCAACATTGCGTTAAAATGATTGTGATGTAGTATGATGAAATGGTATCCCCTCTAAATGTTCGAGTGGCTTGACTTGGCACATGTTCATGCATGTAGTTGAATCAAAACCAACATAGCCTCTATGATATTTATGTTCATGGTGTTCATATCCTACTCATGCTAGTATCCAATGTTACTTATGCATAATGCATGTTCATGGCCGTTGTTGCTCTCTAGTTGGACACTTCTCAATCTATTTGCTAGCCTTCTCCTGTACTAAGTGGGAATTCTACTTGTACATCAAAAACCTGAAACCCAAGTTATTCCAGATGAGTCCAGCATACGTACCTATATGTGGTATTACCCCACCGTCCTAAGTAAATTTGCATGTGCCACCTCTAAAAACTTCAAATAAATATCCTTTTTGTGTGCCTGGATTGTTCATAGAGCGACAGGAGGTAGTTGGTATCTTCCCTGCTAAGCGGGTTATTCTCAGGATGGGTGTTTATTCACTCACCATTGCACGAGAAAAGAAGCGGTAATAGTGATTCCCAGTCCCAAATGGCAAAAAGAACTTATCAATAATCAAACAAAAACTCCTATGGAGCAAAAACCTTTACTTTACCGCTTGGAAACTGCTACTAATTTGTTTAGCATGGAAGATATTGATAACTGATGGTCGTGAAGTAAACAAGAAGGGTGCATGTCTCAAAATTTGATTTACCTCTATTTTAAAAACTTGAGCTCTGGCACCTCTACAAATCACTACTTCCCTGTACGAAGGGACTATCTATTTACTTTTAGGTTGTGTCATTACCTTCTGAAATAAGCGCCACAACCTGAGAGAACTGATGTCATGCTGATGCATTGTGTGTAGCTAATGTTGGGTGCATCATGACTGGATCTTTTCTACCATGAATTACAATGTTTAGTCGCAGCTTGAACTTTGGGGGTGCTCTGCATTTTTGTTTTGCGGTCTCAGAAAGGGCTAGAGAGATACCATTGTTGTCATATTGTATCATGGTTGTTTTAACAACATGTTGCTGTTTGATATGTCTTATTATTGCTTGCTAGTTGATTATGTCATTAGTATGAGTTAATTTAATTTTTAGGAGTTATTGTCGACATGGTTAGTTATACAAACGGTTTTAACCCCTTTCCGCGATGGCATTTGGAACCGTCGCCAAGTGAGTGTGGGCGATAGGGTTCCTTCCCACACGACCCAGAAACCATTAGGGATAGTCCCTCCTGGCACACAAGCTGAGGCAAAATGAGCTCGTGTGCGATCGGGCGAGGCATCGAAACCCAATTGTTCCGTTCGTATGTACGTCCCACACAGTGAATCCCGGAAAAACATTTCCGTTCGTATGTATATCACACACAGTCAATCCAAGGAGAACATTTCTGTTCTCATGTAAATCCCACACAGTGAATCCAGGTAAAACCTTTCCATTTGTATGTACTTCCCACACAGTCAATCCAGGGAAAAGGTTTCCGTTCATATGCACATCCCACATAGTCAACCCAGGGAAAACATTTCCGTTCGTATGTACATCCCACACAGGTTTATGTATAGGCTCGTGTGTGATACGTGTAACTATCACACATGCTCTGCCTTAGTTAACCGTTTGCTTTTATCAACTACATCACACACGATTTGATGAAGAAAACTGTGTGGCATTGGGCTATCCATCACAAGCGCTTTTACTTCTAGAACCGTTTGCAAAGTTCCATGACCATTTCGCAGGTTTATTAGTTTACAATTAATAATTTCAGTATTACGCAAATTCACATTTCATATCGAATAGATATTTTCCAATTTCATATCAGGCACATAGATATATTTTAACATCACAGTACGATAGCTACCGGAAAACAGCACATTACAACATATAGATAGTTCAACTTATAAGATCAATATTAGAACAATATATTCATTTCCCTAATAGAGATCATCCAGGCTCGCCTTATCCACCTCTGCTTTCAGTTCAGTAAGAACCTATTTTGCACTGGCCAACTAGGAAAGTGCCTCCTCCTTTGCCAACACCATCTTAGCAAAGTCTGATTTAAAAAATCTGAGCTCATTCTCCACATTCCTCTTTTTATCCCGCATCTTCAAATATTCTTCAGCGTTGACAACACTTTCTCTAAGCCTACCTCTGTTCTCTTCCTGATACATGCTCCAGATCTTTTCTAGGCACATCTTCAAAGACTGTGGACACTCATGATCAATCCACTCCAAGTAAGAACACTTTCGTTCATCCTATAATATTTAAAACTAGATCAGTAACAATTGTAGGGAAAATGGGTTTATAGAAACATAGAAAATCACCAATACTTATTTTGAAAAACTGAAGAAACAGTTTAATTATGACATATCTTCTCAAAAAGATCAATGTGCAAATGAATTAATTGCTACTGACACAACAACCAAATTATGAAACATCAGAAGCTATAATTAACTACAACAACTCTACAAGTTTTTACTCATGTACTATAAATAACAAATTAAACATTTTAAGAGGAAGGTAAATATAACTGCAACATCATAGCAACAGTGTTTGGATGACAACAAATTGATACTAATAGGTGTGTACATGCACAAATTTAGTAACATAGAACTAATAGCACTAAGGCGTCCAATGTGTATGCCAAAACCGGTGTAAAGACAATTGTTGCTACATCTTGCACCGGTGCCCTGCACTAGCGAGCCGATGCAGCGGAAAAAAATCAGGGACCCGAACTCCGGAGCACCTAGTTGCTCTGACGCCCAGTTCCTTCATGCCATAAAGATTTAGTATTTTACTGCTTGGCTGCTCGGATGTGTGGAAAAGTTGGCTCCACAAACTGTTGAAGTGGTGCCAAATAATTTTCTAATGGCACCGCTGATGAGATGGCAACATTTTTAGATACTAGGGACAAACTGTGACACTATCTTAGGGTGCATTTGGTTGAAGGTGTGGTATGAATGGGTTGGGACTGTGATAGTGTCTGAATCACATCTAACAAATGACTTTTAACCACAAAAGAGATTCTAACCTTCTCTGCACACGCCAGAAACTTCCTCCCACTGTCCACAGATTCAAACGCAACTAGCTTCACGCATGGAGATTGATGGTGACAACAAGTAGGCAGATCTTTAGCCACCCTGCTCCATTCGTTGCAGCTGATGGTCCTTGGGAATTACAAGAGGAAGAAATGACTCAAATCAACCGCTGGGTAAAAATCCTTCATTCCAAGTCATAGCCCAAGAGAGAGAGAAGAGAGGCATACCCGGGTGGTTAAGGAGTCGTCGTCGGAGGAGGAACCGCTGGAGAGGTCTTTGAGGAAGAGCATGGCGACCCCGGCGGTAGGATGCGAGACGGCGAGAGCGAGGAAGCAATCGAGGAAGCGGCTATAGTTTAGGAAGGAAGGAAGGGGGAAACAAGGGCAATGTGACTTGTGGTCAGGGAGAAAAGAGCATGAGGAGGGGGGAGGGTAGATATTTTGGCGGTAGGCCAAAAAATATGAAATGTGGAGGGAAACTTTGCGCGCGGTTCTGCCGGACACCATTCACTTTGAACGACAGTGTGCATCACAAATGATTCTTTTGCTTAACGTGCATGGGATGAGTTTGATAATTGAAATTTTGGTGGAAATTTCCCCGCGTATGTCAGTGCATAATTTAACATCGCTTGCTAATTTGGGCACACAAAAGAGCGTACAGCACACAGACCAGACTTACTGAATCGAGCAATTTTAGTAATTAAACAGAGACAGTCACCTAAACATCGCTCTAACAAAAGACCAACATTAAAAACAAAGCCTAAGTATGAATAATTTTAACAAATCCGCCGCCGCACTGGCCTATGCATCACCGGTGTGACATGAGATGTCGATGACTTGTCCTGGCGACATGCCGCCGTTGGTGGACTCCGCGTCCCCCCCACTGAAGTCGACCGCGTCCTCGTCCTCAGCGTCGCCCTCAAGGTTGTAGTACTCGTAGTAGTGACTGCGCTAGAGCTTGCATTGGTACTCCACCGCCGATTCCTCGACGGACAGACTCTTCTCTACCTCGACCTGGGCCACGCGCAACTCCTCCTCCCAGTGCTCCTTGATCTCTAGCGCCTCTTGCATCTCCAGCTCCCACTCGACGACTTCATGAGGAAGCAGGTGCTCCATGGCCACCGCCGCCTTTTTGGACATGGGTTGCATGTTGGATTCCGAGGTGGCCTGGAATATCTTGATATGGATGGCTGATAACCCAAAAGTATAGGGGATCGCAACAGTTTTCGAGGATAGAGTATTCAACCCAAATTTATTGATTCGACACAAGGGGAGCCAAAGAATATTCTCAAGTATTAGCAGTTGAGTTGTCAA